GGATAGCTGGAAAGGGGGGCGATGAGGAGTGACACCCAAGCCCAACGTCAGGTGGCATCTCGCCCAGTCAGGGGTGCATGGGACGCCTTCCACGATTCTCATCGGGGTACAGCACCGCCCATCCGCCCACCCATCATTTTCCTCACAGCCATTTCCACCATGCACACGCTCACCCGACTCAAAGTTGACTCCACCGGGGGAGTTGGTGAGCATGAAGCCAAAGTCGATGTGCACGATGTGCCCGGCGTCGTCCAGCAGGATGTTGCCATTGTGCCTGCATCAGAGTAGGTGGAAAGGGAGGAGTGAAGATGATGCCTGATTTCCCTGTGCCCCGCCGGAGTGCAATGCTGCGCTCCGGGCGGGGCATTGATCGCCACCTCCCCCGGTTTCCCCCTTTCCTATGAGACCTCTCACCCCCCACCCCCCTCAAGCACCCGCCCACGCAGAATCACCTGTCTTTGATCTGCAAGAAGTAGGAGACGAGGGAGTAGGCGGCCATGGACTCCACGAAGTTGCGCTGCGCGGCCAGGAGCTCCGGCGTGCCTGCTCCGTACCGCTCCAGGAAGTGGTCCCTCAGGCTGGTGCCCGGCGGGCAGGCGCCCTTCACGGCGTGCACGCTGGGCGCGTTGGGCACGAGCTCGATGAGCGCGGTGCGGTTGCTGGTGACCAGCACCTCGTAGGGGTGCAGGGTCAGGGGCAGACGCGCCTCGCGGAAGATGTCGTGGAAGGCGTCGATCAGCTGCATGGCCAGCAGTTCCTGCCGGCAGTCGTCCCCGGCCTTCACGATCACGCAGGCCAGGTCCCAGCCGGGGCGCGCGCCGTGGGGCGACTGCGCGCGCACGCGCGCGCGCCGCGCCGCCCACTTCTCACCGTACACGCGCTCCTCCGCGCCGGGGTCGCGCGCGGGCGGCCGCGCCGCCGCGGGGTTCGTCTGGGCCCCGGTCTGGGACCCCGCAAAGCGCACCGTGGGGTCGCTCGCCGAGCGCGAGCGCGGCGACACGGCGTCTGGCCCCCCCCCCACGCCGCCGTCGCCGTTGCTGGTGCGCACGCAGTGCTGCTCGGGCACGCTGGCCAGCGAGGCCGGGTCGGCGGCCGCATCCACGGGCGGGGGCAGGCGATGCTTGCGCGCGACGCGGAGCAGCGCCTCGTGGCTGGGCACGCGCGAGTGGCGCGGCGGCGTGCGCTTGATGCTCAGGTCCAGGCCGCCGTGCACGCTCAGCCGCACGCGCACGTGCGGCCGGCGGGGTGCGGCGAGGTCCCGGGCCGCATCGCCGCGATCCGGCAC